AAAGTTTCTCCTTTTCTCTGTGCTTCAAACTACAGACTTCTCCACATGCTCCCTACTCCCTCTCCCCACATACACACACACATGCAAACTTTATGCTTGCCAGAAATCACTGAATTACTCTTCCCAGAAATGCCAGCTCAGAATGGTTTAGAAACCCAGCTGGAGAGGCACCAACTCAGTGAGAGGTTCAACTGTTTGTAGAAAAAAAAGAAAAAATCTTGGGAAAAGTGATACGAGAGAGGTTTCCTGTAACAGTCAGGGGAGGCATGCAGCCTGCTCATGCCTTTCCTCCACCAGAAATCATTACTCTGCCCACTCTAAAGGCAAGAGGCTTTCACTATGCCCTAAATATGCATTTTAGTAGCAAATACATTTATCTAACTATAATTTCTCCCTCTTTCCTCTACACAGAACTTAGGTCACTAGAAAATACATTGAGCGCTATTCATTTATTTAATTTATTTTTCTGTTTATTATTATATTTATTACATTGATGTAAAATTGCATTAAAAATTCTGGCTACTCATTCTTTAGCAATCAATTAAAATAGAGGCAGTTCAAAAATTATGCCTGATTTTATTTTCTGCTTTACCTTTATATTAATATTTAAAATGAATTCACAGAGAAGTTTATTGTTGACACAACAGACATGCAGGAACATTAAAATAAACATTTTGATTCATGTATTCATCCAGCACCATTTTCTTCAATAAAGTACAGAATCACTTCGGGAATACTAATTTAGTCAATGATCTCCAAATTACTGTTACTATTATTACTGTCCTTCATTTTTAGCTTAGTAATAGTAATGTCCCTAGTGAACTATTTATAGAATAAAAGATTGTTGTAAGAATTTATAATATTCCCAATAACCAGTGTGTTATACATGCTAGATAGAGTCATTTTACTACTCAGTATACTCTGTTGTCTAGCTACCATGAGAACACTCCAGGAAAATTCTTTGATGTTCTGTAGAGCAAAATGTCTCAGAGTCCCATGTACGATAGCACACTTTAGATTCAGTTTGCATTTGGAATCCTAAGGGAACCTAGAAATGAATGTGTACAAATATATCACTAGCAGAAAAAACATAATTCAAAACTCTGTGTCCTTGTTATGGTAGACCAAGAATGGTGCATTATTATGAATTATGATTAGATATTTATCAAATCTAAGTTTTGCATAAACACAGCTGGCCACAGAACACTATCAACAAGGATGACAGGAAAATCCAATTAGAGGTATGCTATACCAGCACAGAAACTATTAATAATAAATTTTTTCTTA